CACCTTCGATAACTAATCGGACCGAGCTGCGAACCGCTCGACCTTCTTATCAGTCAAATTAAGACCGACCATAGCCTCACCGAGCCCACAGCTAATATCAGCAAGCACGTTCGGATCACTGTAATGAGTGACGGCCTGAACAATGGCCCGGGCGCGTTTAGCCGGGTTACCGCTCTTAAAAACCCCAGAGCCAACAAACACTCCATCGCAGCCCAACTGCATCATCAAGGCCGCATCAGCCGGCGTCGCCACTCCACCGGCGGCGAACTGAACCACCGGCAACCTTCCAAGTTGTTTCGTCTGCATAACCAAATCGTAGGGAGACTGGATTTTCTTAGCGAAGGTGAAAACCTCATCGTCATCCATGCTCCTAAGAGCTCTAATATCCCCCATCACGGATCTGACGTGCCTAACGGCTTCGATAATATTCCCGGTCCCGGCTTCTCCTTTGGTTCGAATCATGGCGGCTCCTTCACGGATTCTCCGGAGCGCTTCCCCAAATTCCTGCACCCACAAACGAAAGGAATCCGGAAATTATGTTTGTTAATGTGATTCTCTTCGTCAGCCAGGGTCAGAACCTCGCTCTCATCAACATAATCAATCCCGATGGCTTCGAGGATCTGGGCCTCAACGAAATGACCAATACGAGCCTTGGCCATAACAGGGATAGTAACAGCCTGCTTGATTTCCTTAATGATGTGGGTCACTCATCCTCGCCACGCCGCCTTGGGCACGGATATCGGCGGGGACACGTTCGAGAGCCATGACGGCGCAGGCGCCGGCTTCTTCAGCGATACGAGCTTGTTCAGCGTTGACGACGTCCATAATCACGCCGCCACGGAGCATCTGCGCCAGCCCGACCTTAACGGAGAAAGGGGATTTGTGGGTCTCCGTCATTTGGCCGTCTCCATAAACAGCAACCACCCCAGTTCCTGCCATGGCGAAATACAAATGGTAAAGAAATAAGAGTGAAAGCGAGGGATATTGAAATGGAAAAGGGTTGGGGATGAAGGTGGCGAATGATGGGTTTAAATAAGAAGATAAACGGTGATGGACCCATGATATTGTATATATGGTAAGGGTGAGTAGGGTTGGAGTTGGAGTTGGAGGCCACGAATATCGATAAGTTTAACCAAGCAACTTCGGGCTGTGGGAGATGGGCATACGTGGTACTTGTGGTTCCAGTCATCTGTCGACCATATGGATGCAAACATACGGGTCGAATGCGAATATCCATTCCTTTATACCCACTTAATATTTTTAATCTACCATCCGTCTATCACCTATGATAGATAAAAATTTTCAATTCACACTCGTCCACATGAGTACATTCTCAAATTCATCCACACACCCCTACCCAACTGGAGACGTATCCGACTAGACCTGTCTGACAGCTAGGGGTGTGCAAAAAATCCGATCCGACTGATCCGATCCAAAAAATTCGGATATCCGATCCGTTTTTCAATTTTCGGATAGTTCGGATTGGATATCCAGAATATTTCCAGATTATCGGATCGGATACAGATCGATAAAAAACCATGTTCATATTATCCGAAAACCTGAAAAAAACTTGGGCTATATTCGAAGACCAGGGGAGGTTTGCATAAGGCGTGAGCACGGTTTATTCATCTTGAGCTATCGCAGAAGAAGTTACAGTTAAGGCGTGGACACGCCTTATCAGTCCGTATAACCCTAAATTAGGGTTACGAATTTATAAGAGAAATTAGTTTAATGCGGTTGAAAGGCTCTATTGAATCATTTTTATCTATAAAAAAAAGTTTGAGACTATAAGAATTACAAATGTGGATAGACACCTGAACAAATCCATTCATTGAGTTGTAAAAATATTATGGACACAACTTTCTCTGAGTTATTTAATCAGTGATCTTGTTTGTTGTTGCACCTGTTTCTAATTATAATAAGTTTCACATACTCAAAATAACATGATTTCATCTCTTTCTATACCAGCAACCAAAAAGCTTATACAAATTTAATCAAATGATTCATGAAGCGTAAAACGATATTTGGATCTGTACCTTTGTATTATCTCAATCCAGAAAAGAAGATCAAATCTAAGTTATATGGTTTTGGCTTTTTTTTCAAGATGTTTTTTTGTTTTTCAATGAATGATTATACAAATTATAATGCATAAATTATTCATAATTTTTAAAATCAGCAGAAGCATGAATGCACTCAAATTCAAAAGAATAACAAAATCGATAATTCAATAATCATATACGTACATATAATGTGTTTCTTAAAACTCAAATCAATATACGAATGCTCTTAGATTCAGCAGAATATCAAAATCAAAATAATGGAGTATTGACTATGGTCTTGTATATTGATAGAACTATTATACAAATTATAATGCATAAATTATTCATAATTTTTAAAATCAGCAGAATGCATGAATGCACTCAAATTCAAAAGAATAACAAAATCGATAATTCAATAATCAATATACGTACATATAATGTTTCTTAAAAATCAAAATCAATATACGAATGCTCTTAGATTCAGCAGAATATCAAAATCAAAATAATGGAGTATTGACTATGGTCTTGTATATTGAATAGAACTAAGTGGATTAGATATGAAAATCGGAGTATTCACCTTACGACAAATTAAAGCGGCTACAAACAACTTCGATGCAGCAAACAAGATTGGGGAATGTGGTTTTGGATCAGTGTATAAGGTGACATACAACTCTACTACCCACATAGAAGACCAGATAAATAAGAGGAAGAAGGCGTACCTGAATGAGCTGGAGACTAGAGTTTGAAACTTAGAGAAGAACTACCAGAATTTCATATCAGTAACCAGCAAGCAAAGCACGAGAGGTTTGAAAGAAAAAAATTGATTCATAAACTTATCCCTAATAGTTGGTTAAATATAAGTTATATCTTATTCAATATTAAGATTTATAAATTAGTCTTTAAAATTATACCTAAATTATAATGATCCAAAATTTAATGGATATTTAGTGGGGCGGGCGGATGCAGGGCGGGCTGTCACACCCAATTTAGAGGCTAAAATTTTAGAAATAAAAGTATTGAATTTAATTGGTATTTTAGAAGAAATTGAGGATTAAATTGTAAAATTTTAAATTGGCATACCATTTCAGGAAGTGCAAGAAATTCAGTGACTAAACTCATGATTTGTCCATTTTTATTTGGAAAGATTTATAAACCTCTCCCCTTGTATATTTTTGCAGAAA